TGGCTATACATACAGGTGTTATGTCAAGTCAATAGAAATTTCAAATGTCAGTATATAAGGATCAGACAGGGATATATGTCAGGGTAAAGCAAAGAACCCGTGTAACAAATTTAACTAACAAGGTGTTACAATTTGTTTTCTTTCAGTTTATTCTTTTGCACAAAGCCTTTATTATTGGTGCTATTGGTGCTACTTCATATACTTATTATTGGCAAAATTTACGTTTTACCAAGCAAAGGGCTAGGAGTAGTACATAAAACTTGGAAATTAAGGTAGAAAACACAAGGAAATATTTTGAATTAATGGATACCTTTTCTGTGAACATCATTTTTATGGTGGAATTAAGGTTGCCTTCCCAGAACCCTTCATCTTCATCCACAGTCAATTTTACTTTTTGCAACTTATTAGTGGTGCTACATTCCCCTTGAGAGAAGATCTGCATATTTGGGCAACCCATCACAATTACTTCTTCCAAAGATGCAAATTCAAAGCCACAATACCATGAGCAAAAGCTCGCTAGTCTTGGTAGACCACGAAGTAGCAAACACTTGAGTTGGATGAAGACAATGACATCCTTAACGTCTTCATCCACACACGCCACAATTTCTTTTAGCATTTGACATTCACTTATACTAATTTTTGTGAGCTGCACCATGCTCTTCGCTGTTGAGTACTCAATTAAATTTATGAGTTCAGGACATGCAGATACTTCCAAAGTTGTCAAATTCTCGAAAGATACAAAGGATGGCACCAAATTCTTTAAGTTGCTACACTGTAACACTTCCAGGATTTTCAGGTTATAGAAAACTGATTCCAAAAGTTCAGATAACCTTAATTCACTTGACTCAGTAAGTGCAAGTGCAGGTTTTGCCTTATCACCAAGTCCTTGACATTGGAATGGTTCAAGAAACGAAGCTTCACTAACAACAAGCCTTTCAAGATTTGGTGACTGAAAGAGGAAAGGGTGCACAACTGACTGCTCAGGTAATTGGATGAGTTTAAGAACTTTTAGTTTGGGAAAATAATCCCCTGGATATTGTCCATGCCATATCTCCTTCATAATATCATTATTGTTCAATTCCAGTTCTTCTAGACAAGGGAATGTCGCCTGAAATATATATGAAAATATAATATGTTAAAAATGAATAAAAGAAGCAGGATGCAAAATGTTTATAGAATAATACACATCTGCATTCAATTTATCACTAGCTGATACATATGAGCAAGAATTGCTCAATATTCAGATTTTGCTAGCCATTTCTAATTTTTAGTTTAATATTAGAAAAACGTAAATATATGCAGATTTTGATTTTTTATAAATTCATGAATTAGAAATCAAACACCTATTACAACAAGACAAAAGAAAAGGAAAAAAAATTCTAAATTCTTATATCCTTAGATAGATTAATAATTACTTCATAAATAATATAAAAAATGCAAAAAAAGTGTTTTCCGGAGCGGAC